GTTTTATACGTTCGAGGCATATTTATAGAATGTACCAACGGAGCACTTCAAAAGTTCTAGAAACATCTCTAGAATGTTCATCTGAATGTGCTACGAATGTACACGAACGTACTGCAAATATTCTAGTAATGTGCTGTAGATATTTCTATGAATGTTCCTGGAATATACAGCAAATATTCCAGTAATGTGCTGTAGATATTTCACCCAAAGACAAGTATTCTATTTTTTAGTGGTTCCCTCTTGATTTTAGCCGGCACAAATTGGCAACCGGCACTACGCGACACGCACGCGGGCGCGTGAGCGTCAGCTTCTGAGTATTCACCGACCGCCGCTAGGCCGCGCATGGTGACGGCCAAAAACTCGGAAAAATTCACTCTCGCGGGCCTCCTTTTATACCCTACGAGACTGAATTTTGCTTCCGAGTTTTTGGCCGCCACCATGCGCGGCCTAGCGGCGGTCGGTGAACTACTCAGAAGCTGGCGCACGTGCTGCGATTCGCGTATCCGCGAATATCTTGCGTATCCTCTTATTTCAAGAGGCTAGTCGTATTACTGTAATGGAATTTTCTATACAGGAAATTAATCTTAATTATAACTTATGAGTCTACTCTTTTATAGATGAATATGTGTTAAAGTAAGTGAGAAATGCTTCATATAAGATTTTTTGCTTAGAGGAAATACTTATTGTTAGAGGATTTCCCCGCTTATGAATACATTTTTTTTTGGGTGCATAGCAAGCAGCGTCCAGAAACACCAATCATCATTTGAACATGCATAGCATATTCCTAGAATATAATGGAACATACTGCGTATGTTCATATAGAAGTTCGTGAATATACCACGTACATTCTATGCGAATATTCATAGCACATTTACAACATTCCATAAACATTCGTAGCACATACGCTGTTAATATTCCACGTATATTCAGTAAGAATATCCGTAGAAAATTCCATGTGTACGTCCCACGTACATTCTGTAAGAATATTCATAGAACATTCAGAATATGCCATAGACACTCAGGGAACATTTAATGCGAATATTCCCTGGGCATTCTGTGTGAATGTTCATAGAATATGAAGAACATTCTAGAAACATTCACGGCACATCCATGCGAATATTCCTGAGAGAGAACATTCGAATCATATACAAACATTCATGGAACATTCGGTGCTATCTGGGCCGATACCCGCCCGCTACGGTCGCCCGATAAGCTCACGGCCGTTCCCCGGGAGCTCCCGCGCTTGGCACCGCCGATCCGCTCGCGACACGAAATGGCCGGCTCCGACTCCCCCTTGGAGCGGATACCCGACGGCCCGAAACACTAACACGAACTGGCGCGATGCCAGAGCGCGAGCTAACCCCCTCGGAAGCACGCGGCTTTTACAGTAGAATTTCCCTCGAGGGTCACCTCACCGGTACTCTCCCTGGATCCCACGTCGCGGTCCCGGTCGGCACTCTGCTCCTCGGTCCCTCGCCACGGCCTCGGCACGGAACGTGGCCGGCACGCTGGCCCCTTTCTCGGTTCGCGCTAGGAGATTCGGTCCGACAAGTACGAGGATCCGCGAACGAAAGCGGAAGATCCTGCGCGAGCGGGTCGATCACCCGATCGCTCGTTACGACCGCGAAAAGGGGCTGCGCGAGATAGCGGCGCCGCGGATCCGCCAATCAGTGGGCCGCTCGCCCGGCGTGTCGCTGGGGGGCGTATCCCGTTTGGACACGTAACGATTGGACACCGCTCGATTGGACACGCACTATTGGACACACATTATTGGACACCGAAATCATTGGACACCGCATTATTGGACACAAGCATTATTGGACACCGCATTATCGGACACAAGCATTATTGGACACCGCATTATTGGACACCGTATTATTGGACACTGCATTTTTGGACACCGCATTTTTGTACACCGCATTATTGGACACAAGCATTGCAAGATTGGACACTGCATTTTCGGACACCGCATTATTGGACACCGCATTATTGGACACACATTATTGGACACCGAAATCATTGGACACCGCATTATTGGACACAAGCATTATTGGACACCGCATTATCGGACACAAGCATTATTGGACACCGC